CCCCAAAACCCCAAAACCCCAAAACCCCAAAACCCCTTTACACCGAAAATATTGACGTTAATTCAAATATCACTATAAATAATTTAATTTGTAGAATGGAAGACGGCCCAAGCGATAAGGATAACGTTAAAGTTGTCCTCAGGGTAAGACCCATGAACGAAAGGGAGCGAGGTAAGTGCATTGCCTAAACATGGAACTCAATTTTATATAGCTACCTGATCTAAAAAATGTTGTGTTGTCTTAGATAAGGATAAAGTGTTGCTAGATGCAAAACCGGAAAACAAAACCTTTAGCTATGATTTCGTAGCAGACGAGGATATTACGCAAGAGGATATTTTCCACAAGATTGCTGAACCAATACTTAACTCATGTCTTGAAGGATACAATGCAACTATATTCGCTTATGGACAGACAGGCTCTGGTAAAACATACACTATCCAGGGACCCGGATTCGATGATGTCTGTCTAACGGAACAAGATGAAGCAGATCGAGGAATTCTCTCCCGCTCCTTCGAGTATTTATTTAATAAGCTTGAGAAGATGTCAGTCAGTGAAGAAGAGGACTGAAAGGTAGAATACCTTATTAGAGCTTCATATCTCGAAATTTACAATGAGCAAATCATGGATCTCATGGATCCCACCTCTCAAAATCTTCAAATTAGAGAAGACATTAAAAAGGGAGTCTATGTAGAAGGACTTATTGAGGAAGTTAGTAGCTCAGCAACTGAAATGTTAGAGATAATAAAAAAGGGATCAATGAGGAGACACACAGGTTCCACCAACATGAATAAAGAAAGTTCCAGATCACATTCTGTCCTGTCAACAACAATAGAAAGTAAGATAATGAAGAATGGGCTTTTCAATGTGAAATATTCAAAGTTCAACTTAATCGACCTCGCTGGGTCAGAAAGAGCCAAGAGTACAGATGCTGGGGGATCAAGATTAAAAGAAGCAGGAATGATCAATAAATCACTATCAGCGTTAGGAAATGTAATCAACTCTCTTGTTGAGGTTGGACAAGGAAAGTCTAGACATGTTCATTACAGGGACTCGAAACTGACCTTCCTTCTGAGAGATTCACTTGGTGGAAATTCCAAAACATTAATGATTGCGAATATTTCTCCAGCTTCTGACTCTTTCGGTGAAACTCTTTCAACTCTGAAGTTTGCGCAACGGGCAAAACTGATTAAGAACAAAGCCATAATTAATGAGGATTCCTCAGGAACGGTTGCTATCTTAAAAGATGAGATCAAAAGGCTCAAGCTTGAAATTACAAAGATCAAGGTTAAAAAAAATAAAGAAAATTTCATATGCCCCAATTGATCCAACCAATGAAATTCAGTGATAGAAGATGATCTCACTAAATTTGATGAAGACAGTATTCTAGCAGATCTTGATGAGGAAAGTGCAGAATCACCAGAAAAGGAGCCTCCCAAAAAAGAGAGAATTGACCAACTAGAAGGTCTCCTCAAGCAGAATTTGAATCAGCTCACTCAAATGCAGGATTTCTACGACAAAGAAGTCAGTGATAAAGAGCTCCTCATCAAACGGTATAAAAAGGCAGTTGATAACTACGAAAAACAGAATGCTCGTGATAACATGATTATCAAGTTTAGAGATTCAGCCATCAACAGGTTTGGCAAACTTAAGGACAAGATTGGTGACAAAGAACTCGCGGAACAATTTACAGAATTTGAACAAGAAATAAAACTCCTTAAAGACCAAATGAAAGAAAACCCCAAACTTGCAGCAGCTCATGCAGAAGTTGAAGAACTTAAAATCGAAAATGCTAAACTTCGCCAAGAATCAGGCTCGAGTGAGCAAAGTTACTGCAGTTTGTACAAGTCCAATCTTGAATTCCTCAATGAATTGAAAGACTACATTGATCTCAACGAAGATGAGCGCCAAGAAAGAGTTAAATCTGAAACCGTTGAATTCACTAAGGAAATCGAAGAGCTTAAAGCCAAACTTCAGGAAACTGAGAGCCAGACTGAAGGCTACAGAGAGCTACTCTCTACAACCCAATCTGAAAATGATAGCAAGCTCAAATCCCTCGAAGGTGAGCTAACCAAAATGAAGGAGGAAATCCAGGTTCAAAAAGAGAAGGAGATTCTCGAACTTAAAGAGAAATTAGTCAAAGAAGAGCAAGAAAAGAACGAAATCAACGCCAAGCACCAAGACCTCTTCCTCCAGAAAATGAAATCTGAGTCTGAAAGAGAGAGCCTTATTTCAGAGAAGAACCTCCTATTCGAAGAGAAGCACTCTTTGTTAGACCTCAAGAACTCCATCGAGAACGAAAAGAACACTATTATTGCAGAAAAGAGGAACATTGAGAATGAAAAAATGAATATAGAGAACCTTTTCACTCAGATGAAGGAGCAATACACTCAGAAAGAAAATGAATTCATCAAGAAGATTGATAAGCTCAAAGCTGAAATCGAAGAGTTCCAGTCAAAAGTTACAATGATGCAAAATTCACTCGACCTTAATAAGGACAAAATAGAATTCTTAGAAAAGATTAAAGTCGAGAAGGAAGCATTAGCAAAAGAAACAAAACAACAAAAAGAAGAGATAGACACTCTAAATGCTGACATGAGGAAGTATGAGAAGGATAATATGGCTATGTCTGATGAGGTTAGTGATCTTTCCAACCATCTTAGCAACGCCAAAAATACCATCGCCTCCCTCGAAGAAGAACTCGACACCAGCGAAAGCCAGCACAAATACAGCCTTGCCGAGCTCCAGACCAAGGCAGACCAGATCAAGGCTGAACATGAAGAAACCAGAGCCGAACTGAAGAAGACGAAGCAGCAGCTGGAGAGTGAACAGGAGAGGACGGAGAATTTGAAGAAGCAGTTTGAAGATGAGTCTAATAAGAAGACCAACACAGTTGACCTCCTCATGGACGAGAAACGCGACCTTGAAACCAAAAGTTCTGATCTCTTGGATAGTATCTCCAAGCTAAACGATGAGATATTGAATCTGAATGACAAAATTGAAGATCTAACTCACTCTAACGAGGAAAATCTTATCCAAATTCAGCTAAAAACCACTCAATTAACTGAATATGAAAAAGAGATAGAAGACTTAATGAAATCTCGTGATGAATTCCAAAACCAATATATCAGTATTCTTAATAAGAACGAGAGCTCTGAGAGAGAAGTTGAAGACTTTAACAAGAAATTGAGAGAGCTGAAAAAGTTAAATGAAAGCAAGCAGACTCAGATTCAGAGTCTCAAGAGCGAGGCCAGCCAGAATGCAATAGAGATTACCACTCTCAACGAGGTTATTGAGAAGCTCAAGGCAGATAAGGCTAAGGAACGAGTAAAAAATATAAATTTGAGCAAAGAACTTAATGACATCAAGGCTAACTCAGAGAGCTTGCTGAAGAACCTGAGTGAAGAGAAAAAGATGAGGGAACTCGCATTCAAGGAAAAAGAAGACAAGGAAAATGAGCTTAAATAAACCAAGACAGATCTCAACGGATGAATTCCTCAAGCATCCAGGCACCAAGAAGCTTTGTAACGCTGTTAAATCGTTGGTGCATGATATTGAGGAGCAATCAAGCAATGCTAATAACATCACAACCCAGAATAAGATAAAATATCTCCAAAAGATTAAAGAAGAGAACAACTTCCTGAAGAAGGAGCTTGTCTCCCTCTTCAAGGAGAACCGGAGACTCTCTGAAGCCAAAGGTGACGACGAGTCGCATTCTAAAAATATAAAGTTGTTAGAGTCTCAGTTGAAGAAGGTGAATGGAAAACTTGAAGCTAAGCACAAAGAGATGAAGCTCACCATAAAAAATGTGAATAAAATGTGTGACTATATCCTCTCTCGTCCTTTAGTACCACAAGAGATGAGAGAGTGCTCCAACGATAACCTCAAAATCAAGCAAGCCATACAAGCTGTTGGCTATATGAGCAAGTACATAACAGAGAAGGATAAAGAGATGACGGATATCAGGAACAAGGGGTCTAAACTTGAGGAGTTGCTGAAGGCATCCAATGAAGAAAGGAACTACCTCAGAGCAAAGGTTGACTCTTTAATCCCCAGTAAAACCTAAATAATATATCCTAAGTACCTCCAAAATGCAGCTAGATACTGTTTCAGCCACGGTTTGGCTGTTTTAGGCTAGGTTTTCGTTAAGCAGTACGATGAAAAATTCTTCGAAAATTCGTAGTTTAGAGATGTAGCTGTACTCGCCTGGATAATGGGTCTTACTTTGGGAAGACTCCAAGCTGGGATCATACGCCAGCAGCGAATAGAGGGAATTCATTCGGGTTTTAGAAAATGCAGTTGGGAAGAATTTGTATAGGAAAATGGAGATTAGATAAAATTCTATAATCTAATACTCAGTTGGGGTTTTGGGGTTTTGGGGTTTTGGGGTTTTGGGG